TTTTTTTTTTTTTTTTTTTTTTTTTTTTTTTTTTGTGTGTGTGTGTGGGGGTTGTTCTTTTTTTTTTCCAGCAATTTAGGAGAGTATTCAAAAAATTGAATTCTGAACCCATTTCAGAAATTTGGTGTTTTTCCTTTTTTTCTTCATTAAATACCACATCAGTATTTTCATCAAAACACCAAAACGTAGCGCAGAAATACCTAGTGCCCCCAGAATACTGACTCCTCTTGAATGTGCTATGAATGGAAATCTGTGTGAGTGATCTGTTAGCACAGCTTCCAAGCCCACTTCCTCTCTTCCCCATCTCTTCACAATGACAACAGCTTTATTCAAAGCTTTGTTACAATTTCAGCATCCTAAAGGAGCCAAATCACCCTTTGTGTTGATGATGGCCTACTACGTTATTGAGGTGACTTTTGCTTTGCCTCTTAGAAAATTTACCTAAAGTTCAGTTCAGGACTAGGTAGACATAATGAGAATCATTACCTGTTTAAAAGAAAAATGTTTATTTTCTCTTCAGGAGGTACCTTACTGAAGAATGTGAATTGGGGTGCCTGTAGGTTAGATCATTGTTATCATAGAGGTAACTCTACTAAGAACTGTAAAAAACAAACAAACAAACAAACAAACAAAAACAAACAGAAACCACCTAACAAGGTCTAACAATGTTAGAAACTGCAAAGGAGCTCCTTTACATTTTTCTTCCTGAAAAAAATAATCTCTTCCAATGTGTTTGACATACTGTACTTCCTTATGTTTCTCAGTACTGCAAAGCCAAGACTGGAAAAGTAATGTTTCCGAGGGAAAAAAAAAAGAAGAAAAAAAAAAAGCCAGTCTAAACATTACAAGCCCTGCAGAAATTCATGACCCCTTCAAGGAGAACAGAGAGGCTACTCCCTAAATATGCTTCCCATGCAGTTTCCGAGCACACGTAAGTAAAGCAGTCAAGTTACCATTGTGTACAATTGTGTACAAGGCCCCAGAGAGTCCAGGAAGGACACTGAGATCCAACAGCAGTAATTCAGTATTATCCCTACACCATGACTTTCCATTATGGTTTATTCTTCATCTCCTTTGGCAGGACAGCCGTGCTGCTGAGTGAATTGGTAATGCTGCCCTCTAGTTCACACCCAGATATGCAGCTCTCTGATAGCAATGCATCCCGGGCTCTCACTGTTAGAGTACTAGCTCCTTTGAAGGCTTCCTCTGCCCCATAAAGTCTCACCCATGCATCGCCCAGGTACCCACCTCCTCCTATGGTTTTTATCCCTCTGCAACTCCTTACACTCTCTTTGCTAGTTCTCCTGGCATAATACACATGTCTGGGGGAGGCAGGGCAGAGATCTTCATGTCTGTAGAAATGGCCATTACTTGATTTTGCATCCTCAGGCTGCTCTGAAATATAAAGCAAGAAGACACAGTAACCAGATAAATTCCCCAGCCTCTTCTCAGAAAGTTACTTGAAAAGCACATTAAATTTTCTTGATCTTGACTTTTCCTTTTTTAGAAAAGAAGAAGACCAAAAATAGACTTTCTGATTACAGTGCAAAACCTATAAAGGGAATGCTTATTAGTTTGTGTAGCTCTGCCAGCCCAGAGATGAAATGAGTCATTGAAGTGTCAGAACGTTGCATCTACTGCTTTTTCACTGCTCTGACAGAGAATTATTATCATCTGCATGATGTTCTAGTTGGAGGACACCTAATACCAGAGGCCATTGCTACCAAAAACTTACTGGCTTTTGGCCAAAGGCTTCAAAGACAACTGAAACAGAGCATGCAAGACTCTTTCTTGTTATTTGAGGTAGACAAATATAAATAATCTTCTTAATTAAACACAGTGAGGAAGTGAAGATGCTAGGACCTCAGTGCTGATCCCTGAAATAAGCACTTCACCAGTTATTTCAGCAATGCCAGGATTTCAAAATGGAACAGGGAATTGATGTACCATACGATAGAGGATTATGGGTGTAAAATGTACTTAAACAGCCTGTACAGTAAAATATCATGCACAGAAACTGCACTTCGGTATACTCAGTTTGGCTGTTTGTTGTTTATAAAAACTAAAAATAAATACATAAGACACTTCCAAGAGGTAGCATGCCATTTCTATTTCTCCCATGGGAAATAAACTTTATTTGACAGAGAGCACTGGCTTTTTGGGGAAGAAAAAAAAAAAAAAAAGTGCAGACATAAACTGTATGTACTGAGGCATGAAGTCACATATTTAGAAGACTAGAGCTACCAGCACAGGAAACTGTTTTCCAGAGCTTGTTTAAGAACAGAGCCATAGGAATACAGGTCTGGAAGGAGGAAGTGTTGCCTACAGAAAATATCTGTGCAATTTATTGGTACACTGCTACATCTAAGAATATGTGCCTGTGGAGGAAAAAAAAGAAGAAAAAAAAAGTAATTTTCCAGTGAATGGTAAAAATGGGGGAGGGTTCCACCATTATCTCCAGTGAAACCCAAAGAATGGACCCTGGGACCACGTCTCCCTTTTTTGAGTTGGGAATTTCAGTAGACAGCTTGACTAAGTGGGTGAAGATTGAAATGTGTGCTCCCTGCACATCTCTGCCATTGACCAGCTCACTGTTTGTAAATCCACTGGCACTGCAGTTGTCACAATGTGCTTTTTTTGTTGGTTTTTTTTTGTGTTTGTTTTTTATTTTGTCCTGCCAGGCAGGATGTGATCTCAGCTGGGAATCCTGGAACTACAGTAAAATAAATGACTTAATGATTCAGAACAGAAAAATAAATCAACCTCTCCCTTCTTTCCCAGAGACTCAAGCAAAGGATGCCATATGTCACTCCCAAACCGTGTATATTCTAAGAAAACTGCTAAACTAAATGGGCCATTTCCCACCTTCATTCCCTCTAAGAGACTACCAAACAGCAAAACCTTGCTCCAACAAATCACTAAAAGAAAATAACACCGAGTTTCTGTCCTTGTACTGAATTCCTACCTTTACATTGCGTTGAGATCTTAGGAACAGATCTCTCCTTACCTGGCAGACTTTCCAACAACTATGCTCATCTAGCATAAAGACAGCTACATCCTACTTTATTTACCAACTGAACTTTTAATATATTAGGAGAAAAAAATGTTATGGACAATTCAAAAGAATGTCATCCAGACTAAACTTGATTTCAATTCATTTTGGTGAATGAGACTGAAGATGCAATGGGGTACTTGGGATTGGTCCCAAGATTTTTGGTTATACCATATATCCCCAATGAAGTGATGACACTGTTAATAGCTGATCTAAATGTACAGTTACAAAGTGCTGTAGAAATTACAATAGGTAGAATGTTACTGTAAATAAACAAATAAGTGAATTGCATGACTAGGTAATAATAAGATGAATTCTGTTTACACAAAATTTGCAGAGAAATAACTTAATAGGTAAGTGTTAACATTTTGGGTGGGTACTGGAATCATAGGATTTCAAAGTAAAAAGCTGTAGCAAATACATAATTTAGGGTAGTAAGTACATAAACCTCAAGTAAAAAGTGGCAGGAAAGAGAAAGAATGACAGCTCAGGTTCTCTGCTCCATCTCTAATACTACAGAAAATTCAGTATGAACACTATTCTTTTTTAGATAATAATCAAATATAGGCACACACTGTCCCAGCTCTGACTATCTCTTAAATAAAAAACAAACAACAGCAAAAACAGAAAAGTATCAACACAGCAAAATGCAGAAATAAAGAGAAATACAGAGTTGGTGCTTACTGTTACTAAGATCCTAAAGGGCTGTATCTACTGGATTTAATATTTACAACTCTATATAGGCAAAAACAGTTATTACTATTTTTCTGCAGATGATCGTGGGTCAATACTTATTTTGCAGATATTCGTTATGTTAATCTGTACTTGCTGTCATAATCATTGAGGAGCAGTAATAGATCAGCCATAACTGAATGCACTTTCTAGTAGCAGTGAGTGTCTCAGTGTCTCATGCTTAATGTATTTATTTATAACTTGCTACTTTTGGAAAACTTCTCCCCAAAAAAAGTCTAAGTGAGAGTAACTTTCAGCTTTGATTCATCTCTGGTTAGGGAGGAAAAATGCAAGCAGTCATTTGGAAAGACAGAACAGCTGTTTATCAGTTTTACATACTCTGATTAAACCTGCCATTGAAACTGGGGGTTTGTAAAAAGTCTAGTAAAAGAATACCCTGTTGTAGCTTAAACCCCAGAGCCACAAGCAATCACATGGAATTGTCTAACAAAATGTAGCTTGTAACACAGAACTGTTGTTGACAATCTTATTTCTATTTTCACACCCTTATATTTTCTTAATTCCAAAATGGATGACAATCTAGCCATTCTGCGTATTCAAGTACCCACTGAATAACTTCCCATTGGGGATTCCCACTTGAATTTGGCCTGACAGCTTCAAGGCATGGTGAACCATATTTGCCATTCTTTAAATAATGACTTTAACTGTCATAAGTAGTCTCATTAGAAATTAAATCATCATTCTCCAGCTACAGCTTTAGGGCAGGTACTGCATCTTGGCCACTCTAAGCTCTCTCACCCTACAGCGGCTATATAATGTCAGAACTGATAAAACAAGAAGCTAGCTTTCTGCTACAGTCACTGACTCAGGAAGACTTTGCCAACCCAAGGTTTGCAACTAAAGGTTTGCAATGCTTGGAATAATCAGTTTAGAGATGAGTATGGAGAAAGAAAAAAATTTACTGAAGAAAGAAGGAAGACCAGAAATACATATACTGTATACCTGTAAAAAAGTACTTTCATGCCCTTTTTGCAAAGATATTTATTTATTAATATCTACTTTTATTATCTTTACATGCAAACTGAGGAAAAATTACACATAGATCACTGAAGAAGGGCCAATGAAACTGAAAAATCCTGAATGTTTCATAACACTGCAAGGCTAGAGGGAATAAGGATTTTCTTCTGATCATCTTATCCAATTCAAAGCATGTTTTTCTTTCTAACAGGTGTAAAGACTAACCTAGCAAGGCACTTTGTGAATAAAACTATAAAACTCAAATTTCCTTCTCTGCTTTTTTTTTTTTTTTTTTTTTTTTTTCCCATTTCTGTATCTAATTAGCAATTTTATGAATATGTATTAGTAAGGACAGGAGCTAACTTCAGTTTTTCAAAGTTATTATTAACACACTTAATATGATCAGGTGCCATTTGTTAATAGGTCAAAAGGTTTCCAGATGAATAAATGATCCTTGTTGGTAAAAGATCCAAGAGACATCAGTCCTTCTCCATTCTTATTATATGTCTTGATGTCACAAAAGGTCTTTTGATCATTTAGAAATTGCACAGGTTTTATGCATCTGCAATAGAAGCGATTGGTGTTTTTTATCTGGATAGCAGTGTTAATTGTGTGATTATTAAAGCTAATAAGATTATTACATTTGTTGCTATAAATGTTACTTCTAATAGCGCTGTTATTTTACTGCAGTTGTCAAAAAGTCCAAAAAGTGTGCATGAAGAAAGGAAAACAGGGAACAGAATTTTGCTCTGGACCATTCAGAACTCAGAATCAGACCTCTGAAAAAGCTTTTGTTTGAGCACCTATACAACAGAACCTCCTCACAGTGTATCTCTGCAGTTGAGTCTGAAACAAAATATCCAACTTCAGTTTCCACCAAGTATCCTTCACCTTTATGTCCCACTCTGAGAGCAATGAAGAAAGGAAGAGGTTTCTCCACACATCTAAATAGCTGAAAGTTCACAGTTCCACAAAAAAATGAGGCAACCTTTCTGCTTGGAAGTCTGCTGCCGTCCTGAGTACCTAAACTCCCAATTCATGGCCAGAATGGATGCAACAAAAGACAGACTACTGTGCAGAGAAATGTTTTGAGCTGCACAGAACATGTTCCTTTGGATTTCATTTGAACCCCACTGTGCTGGCAATGTTTTGAGATATGCATCGTTGGCCTAGCAGATATGCTTAGTCCTAAGGTGGACAGAACATTTGAGAACAGAGGAGTTGAAAATGAAATGATTATACAGTTCATGAGCTATTCTGTGCTCTCTGCATGCCAAGATTCTGTTCAACTACAAATCTACAAAAGGCTCCGCTCCCCTGCAAAACATCACAAACATTCTTTGCCACTTTTCCAAATTTTCATTTGTTCCAGAAAAGCATACTTCATACTTGTGTAGCGCATGCAGAAGGTAAGATAAACATACATAATAGATATACATTTCATATATATACATATATATATATATATGTATATGTATATAGCAGCTCAATAAAGGTTTTAGCAAAGATGTGCTTGCCCACCTTAAGTGCCAAAAGGTATTTGACAGATATCTTTGATTTTAAACTGTGAGCCAATGATTGAATATTAAGTAGAAGCTTTCTCTCTATAATTGTTATCTATTTAGAATGCATT